CTTTGTGACAATGCAAGAGCTGCTAGCGTGGATGCGCTCTGGTGACACAAGGGGCATAGTGTGGACATGCAATAACCGTTTAAGTAAAACACTTTAACTAAAGCAGCATAACTCTGTGGTGTAGACATAGCCTGAAAGTGAGACAAGACCCAGCCCCCATTGAATCTAAAAAGCCACAACTTCCTCCGTAGTTGGCAGGATTCAAACCTGAGCAGGACAACCCCAATGGATTTCTAGTTCATCGCCTTAACCACTCAGCCACAACTACTTGCTTAATACATGTTTCTAACTACACTCTAGTTCTGTTCTCACTGACTGATCAATTCAAATTGTTTCCTCAGACCAGCTTCCACAGCACACTCACTGCTGTGCCATTGTGTAAGTGGGTCCATGGCTGAACTGCAAGAATTCCTGCTCATTTCCCTTCTGGCTGGAGCATGATGAGAGTGTGTTTTTGGTTAATGACGTTGCTGTAGATTGTTGTCCATTTCCTGCCCTGATAATTCAGACAGTCCCTTTCCCATCATATCCCCAGCACATCAGTGATTGCAATAGCAGGGGGCAGGTTTTCTCTGGGGCACTGAGCTTTGCCAGGGGGTTGGTGGCTCCTTTCTTTCCTCTCCCTGGAGTAAACTCAGCTTTTTATTCCATCCTTGATGTTTCATGGAATAATAACAGCAGCATGAAGAAAGAGGTGAGCAGGGCAGGGCGGGTCTCAGGGGAGGGGTCAGAGAGGTGTGGGTGGTGGGCAGGTCAGGGGAGGGGTCAGAGAGGTGCAAGCGGCAGGTTGGGTGGGTCTCTGGGGAGGGGACTGAGAGGTGGGGCAGTGGGCAGCATGGGTCTCAGGGGAGGGGGCAGAGAGGTGTGAGCAGTGGGCAGGGTGGGTCTCAGGGGAGGGGCAGAGAGGTGTGGGTGGTGGGCAGATCTTAGGGTAGGGGGTGGAGAGGCATGAGCAGCAGGTGAGGAGGCCTTGGGGGAGGAGAGGAACGAGCGAAAGGTGGACCAGCAGGCCTCAGCCAAAAAGGAAGAGTGGGGATGGGAAGTGGCCAAACGGGAGCGAGGGGGGAGCACAGGTGGGGCCTCAGAGGGATGAGAATGAGTTAAGGGGGTGGAGTGGGGGGGCAGCACCATGGTCTGGGCACCAATGTCCACCCCCCCACTTCTAGGGAGCTTTCAGCACTTGCGCCCAGCCTCCCCAAATACAAGAGTCACGGGCCACCTATTCTTTGCGTCTTCACTAACCCAGCTCCTCCCCAAGCTATGTTGGTGGGCAAAGCCCTCCTGTTGACACAGCGCTATCTACACCGGGGTTAGGTTGATATATCTGCATTGCTCAGGGAGGTAAATTTTTTACCTCCCTGAGCAATGTAGTTACACTGACCTAATTTTGTAGCATAGACCTGTACAAAGAATCACTCACACCAGGGCCGGCTCCAGGGTTTTGGCAGCCCCAAGCAGCCAAAACCCAAAAAGCGATCTAAAAAAAGCCACGATCGCGATCTGCCGCGGCAATTCGGCGGGAGGTCCTTCACTCCCAGGCGGAGTGAGGGACCGTCCGCCGAATTGCCGCCGAATACCTGGACCTGCCGCCCCTCTCCGGAGCGGCCGCCCTAAGCACCTGCTTGAGAAGCTGGTGCCTGGAGCCGGCCCTGACTCATACACACCTTGGGAGTAAAACTTCACCTGCTCCTCTGCTTTTACAGAATCCAAACACAAGCAACGCTTGTCAGGCCCAGATGGAGGTTGGCAGAGAGTCAGATGTGGGTGGACACGATCCCCTCAGCAGCTGTGGGCACCATGGCTTAGCTGGCTAAAGCCCCTGTTTCGTAAACAGGAGATCCTGGGTTCAACTCCCAGTGGTGCCTTGTTGAGATGCTTTTGGGGCACCTGGCATTGGCTAGTGTCAGAAAACAAGATTCAGAACTAGATGGACCTTTGGTCTAGCCCAGTGTGATTTTTCTTATGGTTTAAATAACACTCACAGGCACTGATAATAGAGTTACTGAAACTTTAGATGGCAAGAGGTGATAGGTCAGTGGTCCAGTCCCCTTGCAGATGACCCCCTCCCTCTGGGACAAGGGCACGTCTGAGCTCTCACACCAAATGCTTCACTATGGCTGCCAGAATCTGTGGGTGGCTCATTTGGTTTATGCGGAGGTTTGAGTCCTGCTAACTGCACTGTGTATGAGAATGAAAATCCTAAACCACCCTTTGAAATAACAAATGCAGCAGGACGTGTTTTTGTCCCTGCCCCAAAGCAGACAGATCAATGGAGAACTGCCATTGAGTCCAGGGTAATACTTCACTGCGGTTTTACCGTTTCCACTTGCTAAACTCCCTCCCAACCTTCTGGGCTCCTAGAGCAGGGTACTGAGTCTGAGCCGAGACACGTACACTGCAACTTTACAGCCTAAGCCACATGGCCCTGATTAATGTGACACAGGCCAGCTGTGGGTGTTTCATTTCACTGTAGATGTATCCTAACATTATGTCTACACTGCAATTAAAACACCCAAGGCACCTGTCTCAAAGCCAAGGTCAGCTGACTCAGGCATATGGGGCTTGGGCTGCAAGACTATAAAATTACAGTGCAGACATATGGACTTGAGCTCAACCTCTGAGACCCCACGAGGGGTGAGAGTTTCTGAACCCAGGCTTCAGCGTGAACACAAATATCTGCACCAGTTTTTAACCCCACAGCTTTAGCTCCATGAGCCCACATCAGATGACCCAGGCCAGCCATGCTGCAATCTTGATCCCAGGAGAGATGTACTGTAAGGGTATGTCTCCATTGCAATGTAAGCCCAGGTGTGGCACACTATGCTCAAAGCAACACCTGGAAGCCCCATATTCACCACTGTTATATAATGATTATATGGTTTGTACAAAGTCTGCCTTGTGAGGTATCATTTCAAAAGTCTTGAACATTAATGTCTTCTTGCATTCCATGTGCTAGCATTGTCTGGGAAGTTATAAAGTTTTGCTCTGTGTGTGTTACTGAAATACGTTAGGAGGTTGGGAAATGCCCACCACCAGCCTTTCAGGTGCAACAATGGAGGAGCCAGACTCGCTGCTGGCCCATTAAAGGTATCCACACTCCCAAGGACTGTCCCAGGAACTGTATACAATGCAGACTTCTCCAAGATAGCACGGACACAATGGACACTGCTTGACTCACATCATAGCAAAGGAACTTCCTAGCAAGTTGCCAGAAACTATGAAAGGGGGGAAGAGACATCATGACTTGGCCTCTTTCCCCACAACTCAATACCTGGAAACACATCTGGAGGACAAAGACTGAACTGAAATAATTCAGAGATCAGAAGAGAATAATAATAATATATTCAAATCAAAGTCCCCAAACAGACTAGTATTGGTTTCTCAGCAGAAAATTTTCAATTTGGGGGATTTTGTTTTCCCAGTCAGACCTTGCCAAGGGAAGCAGAAAGAAAATGTTTGAAATGCTCCTTCAAAACAGCTTGGCCTAGACACTCTAGCTGTGGGTCACTGTTGTGGCCTTGCTGAGGATGGGGGCATTTTAATAATTTGGGGAGGTTCCGGGGTGTTTGGGGGAGATTATGAGGATGTTACCTCTTGAGATAAAAACTAAGAAATACAGGACTAGAGAATTCTTTTAGAAATTTGGTATTTAGATATTTTATTTAAAGCAGGGCGGGAGTCTGAGTTCATTAGATGGTTTTTGTTTGCAGGAAGCAGCATGGTTTGGTCTGTCATTATACCAAAGGGGGAAGATGGTTGTTTGTAAAGGAAGAAAGAAGACTGAAGACCTCCGATGAGGATGGGATTCGAACCCACACATGCAGAGGACCATGGATTAGCAGTCTAGCACCATAACCACTCAGCCACCTCATCTGAACTGTCAAGTAATGGACAGGAGGAGAAATCTAAGGCCAGCAGAGGTAGGGCCAATAACAAGTTTTTGAATACTAAGTGTAAGGAGGGTCTGAATGAGCTTCCCCGCTCACATCTAGTGATGAGCTGGGGGAAAGACTTCAGGAACAGACCGTGTTTACATAGACACGCCTACTCTGCCTAGATATGCAGCAAGTATCCTTTGTATAAAACAAACAAAAAAATATAAAGGTAATTCTTCTGTTTTCCTGGAGTCAGCAAAAAATTTATAAAAAGAAAGGTATTTTTAAGCAATAATCTGTCCTCAGCAAGAGGCTAGGAAATGTTTATTTTGTTTTTCAGATACTTTATGGGCAAGCTGGTGCCAGTGGAAGAACAACCCAGAATACCATGGGTCCACTGTCGCAACAAAAAATTGTGTTCTGTGTTTGTCTTGTTATTACTGTTATTTTGGTGGATATTGTTAATTCTTCAGGCATGACACCCCCTTTTCATTGGACATGTCATGCTGCCGCTTTTGGGACCAAGGGAAAATATACCCTAATTAAACCTCTTCCACCACCTACTCCGCCACCTCCTTCCAAATTGTCTGTGACACACCCATCCCCACGGTAGTCTACCCCTATCCAGAGACCTGTGGTTCTTAATGCAACTGGTTTACAAATGACTAT